GAGAAAATACAGCTAGGAATTAAATTCTACATACGCACCTGATAGTAATCTTGTCTGTTATACATATCATAATCATGAAATGTGGGTAGGTTGTCAGCATATTGTAGTTCAAAAACTTCCCAATCATCGATATTTGTGCTCATTTTGTTGCTCGTATACCAATGTTCGTTTGATGATTGATTGGACGACATAATTATTACTTTTATGCCTGCTGGAGTATGCACGCCTCTTTTATTTTATAATTGCTAACTTTTCATTTGCTATGCTTCAATAACTGCTACGCTACGTAAACATGTGCACTCCTTATGCAAAATGTAAAGTACCATAATGAATAGCAAGAAAACGTTTATTAGGCGAAGTTATTTTTTGCGCGTTCACCGTAGCGTGGAAAATATTGACAATTTGATAATTGTAACTATACCAAGTGAAGATATTATATTACCTGATACTCAATATTCACGATGTTAATTTAAACATAAATGTTTCAAGGGTACCCCTATGCTTTGTTCCTTACTTTTCATTCCTTACAATTGACCTCAAGAACATTTTGTTTCCCTGGGTGTGGGTGTGGGTGTAATAGGTGTGTATGGGTGTGAATGTGGGTGTGAGTCAGGGCTCAAAATGGGCCGTTCGGCTCGGTCCTATGGAAGTTTTTGGCTGGGCCGCGCGGCCTGACAAAATTCTTTTTTTTTCTTTTATGAAATTTTATAAATGTCATATCAAATTGAGTAATAATCAAAAATTTTTATCATAGCCACTTCTACGGAGCTATTATTAAACAACCCAGTAAGCCAATGGCTTTTTAATATGCACAATCTGTGAATCTATTTTCTTATGATTATTGCACTCGTTGATTTATCTTTATGCTATCATTTGAATGATCTGATCTCATTAAATTCATCAATTAATGTATGATGTGTTCCATAAAGATTTCTATCGAAATACGGTGTAGATCTTTAAGACCAATCCTGAATAAGATGTTTGTTAAAAAAAATTTGTCTTAGGGCCTGGGCCGGCCCGGGACATAGAAAAGTGGCCCATTTCGAGCCCTGGCGTGGGTCAGGAGCGTAGTCAATGGGGGGGGGGAGGGCACATGGTGCTCGGACATCTCCCCTTCCCCCTCCTTTGACCAAGAAACATCTGGTAGGGGTAAGAGTAAAAACAATTTCTGAAAAACGAAAATTTATTTTGCTGCTGGTATGCACCTCCTTAGAAAATTCTTGGCTACGCCACTGGTGAAGGTGTGGGTGTGATAGATGTGTATGGATGTGGATGAAGTGTGGGTGTGCTTCTCCTTTCCAATGACACCCACACCGCACCCTTTAGGTAAGTTTCACGATTTAGGGCTGTTTCCTCAGGCCTCGAATAAGAGATCAATTTATTTCAAATTTTAAGAATAAATTCTCTTTTTCAAAACCTGGCTTAAGGTTCTTTGGGTCAGATCAGCCGAAAAATATTTTCGTACAGTGCTCAGAAAACGACAAAATTTGTGTACCTGGACAAGCCCGTTCATCTCACGTATAATTAGACCATAGAACAAGTTGATCACATTATTTCACATAACATTCCCTGACAATTCATTACTAATATTTAGCTTGTATGTGTTATTGTTGTTATCCTTCAGATTCATTGAATAGTTGTACTCTGGAAGATATACAAAAGTGAATGAAGGAAGTCAGTATAGCAATGTGTTAACCCTTTTGCGGCGAGCGTCTCATATATGGAATGGTGGTACGAAAAGCCTCGCCATAGAAGGATTTATATTCTTGCTTGCCTGCGTGAGACAAGATTATTGACTAAGGCTGACAGCCTGTATAGGTCGCCGAATATCTTTTATTGGAAACTAACAGTCAATACTCGACAGTTCTATTTCAAAGAACTCAACTGAGACTTCCGATCACTACATAGAGTTGTGAACAGGACCTACTTTTCGATCATGCTGACGTTTGGCCTGGTTTTCGCCGTGTTGCTGAGAAAAACTGTCGATGCTTACAATTAGTCGTACAATTATACTCGACAAATCCCAGTCATTATTAAAAATGGACGTGACCAACATCAAAGATCGATATAAAAAAATACACATGGATATCCATCAAGAAAAATTATCGAATTTCAAACTATTGGATCTACCGACAATTAATGCAATGATCTGGCTTAATCAAAGTTCGCTTAATTTTCTTTGTTCAACGAGTAGCAGCGTCATTATTGTTCTTCAATTTATTACAATTCTAGTGCTTTTTTGGAACAAGATTTTGATATCGAAAGACGAAGAGATGAGACATGAATAGTTATTCTTCTTTTTAATCGACATATATGATGACCACAGAAAAGTTGATTTGAATTTCGCCATAATCGTTAAAACTTCTTGCGTCGACTGAAAGAAACGAACACAATTCTCGTCTCCTATCGAGATCTGAAAGGTTTATTAAGGTCAATGTCGTGTAGAAAACCAGTAAATGACTATTTAGATTTGGCCTACACTTCAGAGAATATGGAGCATTGCGTGTGACTTAAGAATAGAGAACAACAAAATTGCACCACCAGTTGAAAGTGTTGCGCAAGTACTAAACAGAAAGATATAAATAGGAGACATGTGTTGAAGAGATTATTATATATTTTGAGAAAATGGCTTCAAGCTTGGTCCACTGTGAATTGATAGCTTCTGAACTGAACACCCTGACAACGATACAACTGGATGAAGAGCATCAGGTTTTATTTGCTCTTACAAACTATTTTTTGACTCGAATCGACTTGACAAAAACTAGCGACAACTCACAAATTATCTGTCAACACAATCGAAAAGCACAGGGAGAAGATAACGAAAACGATGACTATTATTCCCAAGGTGAATCTGACGATGAAATGCCTCGCGAATCCGATCCATTCGAAGATAGCGAGCCGTCGACGGATGATGATGAAGAAACTATTGCAGATCGACGAAATTGGCGCCGATATGCTTGGAGAACTTATAAGTTGGACAATCCATGTTCAATTTTATTTTTGCCTGAAGAAAATCGATTGGTTGTACTCAATGAAGGTGTGATTACATTCATGACGATCGATATGGAAAACGGGCGTCCATTTGCTAAAGGTCCATCGATGAACATTTTTTGCTTCGATTACGAGATATTCACTCAAAATAGCATTCAACCTTGGTCGATTGCACCAACTGCAACTGTTGGACTCTTTGTATTCAGTCTACTGGATAGCACTCAGCTTTATTCGCTCGATATATCAAAGGAAAGTCCAGTAATCAAACAAATGATCAGGACATCTGTGGCCTACTGTCCAAATCTACTCTTTCATTCACAATCGAATACACTTTTCGTCTATGATTCGACACAATTATTTGCTGTATCATTGACTGATGGAACAGTTGCAACAGTCGATTTTCCAAAGCTCGACAAGGAGCATACAATCAGTGCAATAACTACTGACAAAATGGGATATGTTTACATCTTGACGGAATTGACTATCTTCAAATGTACTTGGACATCACAACTTCATCCAGTTGAACGTCTAGAAAAAATCGACGTACCACCCACTTGTGCGTATATGGTTGTTACAAAAGCTGGTACTGATTTCTACTTATCGGACACGAATGCTGGTTCTATTTATCGCTGCAGGAAAGTATCGGCATGAATCAAATTACAACAAGTGATTTTAGGAGAAAAAGCTTCATCGATTACGACAAATTCATCTTTCCTATAAACAGTTATTTTTTCTGCTGAGAAGACAATAAATTTGTTTTGTCGAATTTTGCGAAACCTTATGATTTCGGCTCCAGAATCCCATCATGTAGTACGGATCGAGAATCAGAAGTGAGCTTACAGCTCAGCTGTCACGTAAAAGACGAAAAGTGGTTGAAAACCGAATTTCTCAAGATCTCTGGTGTTATTATGGTCAGGATATCGGCAATTCATAAGTGCTCTCTAATACAGTAAAGATTATTCGTTGGTTTTTAAAAATTTGTGTATGAAATATGTATTGAAGAACGTTACTGTTACACTTCACGTTGAAATATGCGTATATGGTGAAATCTTCATTCAGTTTTAGTTGAATCTAGGGGCATTCTAGGACGAAAACCGACTCTGTTGAACACCCGTTTAGAGCTGCTAGTATAATAAGACCTATCGATCCGTTCTTTGACTGCTCATGTGAATGTTTTCGTGCTTGTGTAAACCACAGATTGTAAGCTGATTTTTTCTTTTTACACTGGTATATGCACGCTAACCTTAATGTTGACATTTAATATCCATTTATTTTTTAATCGCTCAAATGACGAAGATTTGAATCGATTCCTTAAATATAATGTGAATAGAATAAATGGTATAGTATTAGAGAAGATATTCCTGAAAATTAGAAATAATCGAAATCATTTTTTAACATAAAGTTACCATCTTTCCTTACATCGGCTATTCTTCCGACATCTATCAATTATATTCCTATTTAACGTTCCACTATCTTGAGCATAAAATATCAAACGGATGTTTATGCATAACAGAGAGTTTTATTATCTTGAAGTTTATTGGACTCGAGAAAACTCGATCAGCTTCCAGTATTACTAAGGAATGCGAGTCGTTTTCTTTTATTCAAAAGTGAGTGTTTATCTCGACCAAACTCTCCTCTAATGATTCACTTCAGATTAAATTTCGTTCAAAAAATCTTTTCTTTGCATCTCATGAATTATGCACAAAGATCATAGAATACTTCAGCGAAGAACGTCTTATTTGATGATTGTTTTTCGCAAAAAGTTAATGTATTCAACAACATCGAATTGAGCGACTCACTTTCATTGGTGCAGATTCTTTTCAAAGTAAAACAAAAGGATAATGGGGTGTGCTTCATCAATTGCTGTTGTTCGGCTTTTTTTTTCAACAGTAAAATTACAGCCCAGAGTCAATATTTAGTTGAAGTGATTCTGATAACCATCAATACTATGTTTTAAGATTTTAGAGAATGAATTTTTGAGATACTGCTATGCAGAGTAACAGAATGCATCACTACGAATATCTCTCATATATTGTGATGCATTATTCTTCTAAACACTAGAATAGCAGGTGTTTTGTTTTTCTGGAATGTATATGGATTGATATACTAGTGGATTTCAATAAAAATGTGTGACACTCAGCTAGATTGAAAACGAAATCTCAAGCAATAAGTTGTGTTTCTTTTTCGTATTATAGTTGGGCCGACAAGCAATTAGACATTCTCGTGTTCAGAGAACTGTTTGACTGCATCATGCTTGTTCTTGAATATCTGATTGCTAACGGTGATGATGAAACATCTGCTTCTGCCACTGCCTATCAAAAATCAATCGCATTCGATATCAAATTCCTCGCCCCACTTTTTGTTGTTTTGCGTGTATTCTTGTTAATCAAACTGTATGCTGAACTTCTTCCTGTTTGTGGGTGAAAAAAAGACTCATATCCATCAGCACACCCCCGCCTAAATTTCAAAGTCTTGGGTTTGTTGCACCTCTATCTCTGTTATTCTTGATGTTAGCATTGGAAAAAAGAAGCAAAGAAATCGCTTTTGCGTCATTTTTGTCTTTAATTTCAACGTGAAAGATGGAGAAAAAAGTCACATCGATTAGTGTCTTCTATGTTTTTTATTTTGTGATCAGACCTTTTAAATTAATGTTAAGTGAATATCAATGTTTCCGTATATACAGCGATAGCGTTGGCTTTAGAACAAAATAAAAATAACTGTTGTTCTCAAATTAATTTACATGAAAATAAAAAATATGTAAATGAGAAGTTTTTCGATTAGAAGCGATCGATATCTTCATTCCTTCAGACAGACTGAGCTGAGTAATCTAGACAAAGTGTGATTCAAAGGTTCTAACAGCGTATATTTTTACATTTACGACTTTCAATTATCTATAAAAAGAAGTGCTTTTTATCGGTCATTATGCAGTACGCACAGTGAGAACAATCGAAAGCTGTTAATTCAGTTTACAATGAGAAGCTGACAACGACGGGTAAAAGTAACTTTATTCGTTGTCTAACATGCAAAATGGAAAAAAGCAGGTTTTATACTTTCAGTATACAAGCATTTTTCAATGAAAAAAACTGAACAATAACGATGGAAACATTTCTTTGTTTCATGTTTCTGATAAACATCAGTTAGTTCGTGAATCAATACACTGCTCAAATCCGTGCAACAGCTAATAAAGTGTTACTGTACTTTATGCTTAAATAAAGAAGAGAGGATGTATTCGCTGGAGTGAAATAGTTAACAGGCATGTCTAAATAGTAAAGAATGAGCGACCTAATATTTACTCAGGAATAGTGTTGTTTCCACTATCTGACTAATGGTAAGATCTCAGCTATACATATCTTGAAAAAATGATCAAGGTACAACTGCTGGAATTACCTGAAATATTGATGTTTTTAATTCGAGAAAAATCCATCACTTTTGTGCTTCAGATTGCCTAAAAGTATGAAGTACAATATTTTTCTTTTGCTGTGAATGTGGTGAGATATAATTGTTTGCGTTTACTATTGATTATGACGAAAAGTATTTATCGATCTCTGAGTTTTGATACAAAAAAAATGCCTATGAAATCTTGAAGAATTCTGTAGCAATCGTGGAATATCATTACACCCTAACACTGTAACAATAGAACTGGAAACAACAACTTGATAAAGACTCTAAATGATCATCAGAAACTGAATCCGAGTGAATTTCAAAACATTAAAGATGAACTGAGGACGCATCTTTGAAACTCTGCTCGATTAGATCTCTGCTACTCATATAAAGTTTCTAAGAACTGAATATTCTAAACGATATTTGATACTGCAGAATTGTACAGATTTCTGATAATTCTTCGAATAGTTCGTCCCAGCATTGGATATTAAACTGGAAAAAGCTTATATTTGAAACTGGTTGTTAGTGTAAGCCTCTAAAAACATCGTATCCATTCTATTCAGTCTGGGAAAGATATGAGTCCTAGAATACTATAACTCAATGGAATCTGCACGAAATTGGAATCTTTGGAAATTCTTGAAAATTCTAGGGAGCTTTACGGAGTGTCAGAAAGTTTTTAGGGATTCTTGTAATGTCTAGAGAATTCTAAAAATCCTAGAGATTCCTGGAATTCAGGATTCCAGTAGCCCACTCTTTTCCCTTGGTTTAGGAAATCATCAGTTTTAGTAATTGGACAACTCACTTAACCAGTACCAGTTGACCAGGTTAAAACCGCGGTTGATGCATACGTACGGTGATACCGTTATGCTAGCTTGGTACTGTATACCTCATACTAACCCTATAATATCAGTGATCCTTAAAGAGCTGAATGATTTCAAATAAGTTTGAATATGAAGTTTGGGAAACTGGATAAAGTGTTTCTGACTAATTTCTATTCTAAATTGCCGTTATCGTATCAACCTTTAAAGAACTTTCAGAAACTAATTATGTAAATGAAATTGTTTGTGAAATCTCGTATATGCCAGAAAAAGTTAATTTCTTCCCGTCAGTTATGGCTTTCTAATTGAAAATTTTGTCAATAGGCGACAATCAGTCTTTATTAATTTGTATATAATTCTGACTAAAAATACATGACAAACAATAAAAGGTGATTTTTCGCTTGTTTTTCTTGATAAAATAATTTCGGAATAATCATCGCTCATTGAACAACTTCAGGCATTTATTGATAATTGCATTCATTGCAGGACTATGAATCTGTGTATTGATTGTACCACAGCGATAAGAGATACATTTTTGGTAGTAACTACAAGCGCAGTAAATGGTCAAATTTTGCTGACTGCATATAATGATGAAAATAACCTGAAGACAATTTATGTATTAGATAAAAAGCCTTCTTCATCAGTTACTAGTTCAATTTTTTTTTCTTTTATCGATTTTACCAGTTTGGTTCAATAAATCAAATTCGATATTCAACGTATCAAACAACAAATGACTACATTTCATCTTTTTAACTTGAAACAAAAAATGATGTGTGATTTGACATTTGAAGCTGCTTCATTCATGTGGCCACAAATATTAATTGATGTACTAAAACAAATGCTGATTAAATCGCGAAATATAAATGGTTTGATTATTAAATGTCGAGAGCATTATTCTGAAGAGTCTATACAGTTGAAAATTATAACTCACAGATGACTATCAAATTGTATACAAGAGACTGTTTTCTCTACTGTCTTTTCAATGAAGCTCTTTGAATTGAAGACATATGCACTGTATTTGTTTCGAGAGATTATCGTTGATCTATGTTGAGAGATAGGGCGAGAACAACGTCTTAATCCACCATCAAATTTGGTAAACTGATGACAATATGAAAAATAATATAATAGAAGAAAAATTAAGCGGCAGACTCATGAACAATTTTAATTTATTCAAATTTTATTCACATTTTATTGGCGATCTTCTGAACAATCAGCAATCATCCTCAATATCATTTCACCCAATTAATCAGAAAATAATCGCTTAGATTTTGGACTATGAAGCAGTCGTCTCCCTCTCTTATGTTTTATGAAACGGCAACAATGATAGTCCTTAAACGATAAATTATTCAATCTGAAAGCGACGAGTTTTCGCTTCCGAATGATTTTCCTGATCTTGGAAAGACTGAGTGTTTTTTTTAAATAAACGATGTGATATTTACCAGCGTATTCCTT